AACGCGTACGGAGACAGGCTTGGGATGGTTGGTATAACTACCCTCCCTTCTCCTGCATGTTCTTCAGTTCTTCCTCCTCCTCACCAGTGTGTGCATGTACACACATGTGCATGCCTGCCTGCACGAGGCCTCCTGAATTTTCACCTTCCCTTTTCCTTCTGCTTCCCCACTTTGCTTCCTAGAGCTGCTTTTTACATGGCCACCTCCATTATCTGCCCTTCCTCCACCCTTTTGCATGCTCCCCCTGGGAAAAAAACAGGGAGGGGAGTAAACAATTTCCCCCCTCCATTGGACCTGGTACTCGTTTTGGCAAAACAACAACAACAACAACAAACAAACCCTGACACAATTTACGCCGGCACATATGTTCATACAGGCCAAAATGATTACAACAACAACAAAAACAACAACAAACAAACTCTGACACAATTTACGCTGGCACACATGTTCATACAGGCCAAAATAATCCAAATTACATTAGATTCACTATTGAGTTAAAATAAACAGCTCTCTTGCAACTGTTTAAAATAACTTCTTTTGAACTGAAAAAAAATGCATGCTTAGCTGTGTGTTGTCCAGGTGGAAATTTTAAGTTCAATTTCAAATGTGCTAAACCCGATGCAAATGTAGGAATATTATGGCGTATAACCACACCTTCAGAGAAGTGTTGTTCTTGGGTGGCTTGGTTTGAATAAAGCAATATGGCTTCTTCATGTTATTTGTTGTGTGAAAAGACAGTTCTCTGCTTGGCTTGGGAATTCAGTTTTGAAATCTGGAGCTGCATGTTTCCTCCTGTTATTGTATCTGTGGCCTGCTTATACTGTAGCCACTTTTGTATCTTTTCATATCTGTGCCTTTCTCAGTTGCCTACTTTCCTGATGATAGTGCGTATCTTCACAGCTTTTGGGTATGGTCAGTTCCTGCTAATTGTAATTTAGTTTGTTTCTGGTTGTGTTTTCACATTTGTGTTTCTTGCATTTGGATTGATTATGTTTTCGATGTAAAGCTTTTTTTTTTTGCTTTTTGTTAACTTTTTTTTTTAAAGAAACAAGCCAACAAACTCTGAATTAGCCCTTCCTTTCAGTCAGCTTTCACCTTTTCTTCTTCGGAGGACAGACCAAAATGTATACACTTAGGAAGAGACACCAACAGTGCTGATTGTTCTGGGAAAACTGACTTTTTGGGTCTGTCCAGCTCGTTACAGTGAGTTGGATAGGCCCAAAAGAAGGGATAGGAAGGGGGCAGGTGTCTAAGGTTAAGTGGGGGGGGCGGCATTTACAATTAACCGTTCTTCAGGAGGGAGAGAGACAAATGTGATTACTGACGGACAGAGGGGAAGAAACTGCTGGCGATCCTCTTGTCAATCAGAACAGCCACATCCCCCTTGGCAGACTGGGTGTGGAACATCTGCTCGCAGTCACGGTGTGGGTCCAGGCTGTCTTTTTAGTTCTCTTCAGCACCCACTTCAGCAATGCCTCAGCAAACGGGGTAAAGAGAGTATAGGATTGTGTCTTTGCTTGCTTGCTTGCTTGCTTGCTTACTTACTGTATTACTGTATTACTGTATTACATTTATAGCCCCACCCATCTAGTCATACCGATTACTCTGGGCAGGTAACAACATATCATATAACAAATACAGTTTAAAATCATAACAATATATTACTAAAAAACCCACAATGATCCAGATGGGAGAAAACATAAAAAACAAAATCAGACAGTGGATGGAAGAAAGGTTTGCTTGAACAGCCAGGTTTTCAGCTGGCATTTGAAGATACCCAGGGAAGGGGCCATGCGAATCTCAGGAGGGAGGCTATTCCAAAGATGAGGAGCCACCGCCGAGAAGGCCCGGTTTCTTGTTTTTTTCCTTCCGGGCCTCCCTCGGCGTTAGGCTCCTCAGTTTCACCTCCTGGCTAGATTGGGTGGTACGGGTAGACCTAGATGGGAGATGGCGTTCCGTCAGGTAACGAGGCCCTAAACTGTTTAGGGCTTTATACGTAAGCATTAAGACTTTGAAATCTACGCAGAACCGAACGGGCAGCCAGTGCAAGGCAGCCAGAGTGGGAGTAATATGTTGATATTTCCTTACCCCACTAAGAAGACTGGCCACCACATTCTTCCTTGTGCTGTCTTCCTAGGACTGATGCAAAGGATGCTTCCATATGAAGAAAAAACTCATCCAGTGGTTTGGGGTGGAGTGGAGGACTTTGCCAGAGGGCCTTTTGAATGCATTTATATTCATCTTTCGTGCATTTGCTGAGTGTGTGAAACCAGAGGGGTGTGTCTGAAGAGAGCTATTGTTGAAATGCAGCATTTGAGGTGTGATATAATTATAACAGCATTGCATGATATTTTATCTCATCTATCCTGTATGTTTTCCTCAGCTCCATTTCTAAGAGATGATAAAAGGTTGGATGCAATTTGGAACCTTAAATTGCCCTAGTGAAGAATACAGTATTAGAGAATAGCTATGTCTATTTCAGCAATACCAATAAATAGATTATTTTGAAAACTGAGGGAAATCTATAACCTAGCATTATTCCACAAACATGAATGCATATTTAAGAATTGTATGGTCGGTTAAAATGGCAGGAGAGCTGAAAGGATTAAAATGTGTGTGCAGGGATTGTTAAATTAGATGAAATTAATTTGGATCCCCTAAACAGTGCTGCAGGCAGTGCGTATAGTGGTAGCAAATTTATTCTGGTTTTGCAATGAAGGGAACTTAGAATGATTAAGTAACCTCGCCCATCCCTTGATTTTTTATTTTATTTTAAGGTACAAGGTACATTCATGTACAGCATATGGGAGAGACCTTTCACAGTTTAGTTGCTCTTTTTTGTAGGCACATGGCAGGAAGTTTGTGACAAAAATACAGTGCACATTTGTTAGGAAGCTGGATTAACACAACATTCAACAAATCAAACAGTTAAACTATCAGATTGCACTGCCTATCTGATTGTATACCTCTCTCTATACCCTTAAATAATCAAGGATCTGGACTTTTACTGTTGAATAACCTCTGTGGCAATGTTTTAATGAGGTCCTTCTTTTTCTTTGCAATTCTTAAACCTAGATTTCATTGTTTGGTTTCTTCCTCTTGTCACTTTCGGTATTTAATTTGGTTGGGATAATTTAGAGAACTCTTCATCTGCCTCATTTTGGAAGTACAAATGAAGGTGGCAACTTGTTGGAAAATCAGTTAAAATTGCCTGCTCTGGAGAGTCTGTCAGTCAGTATTGACTCCATTCTGACTTCAGGCATCACTTGTTTGGCAAACCTGATGTTTTTTAAAAGCTTTGACTAGCAAGTAGACGCAACAAGGGCTCATCACTTGTGTGGTGCTTCCTCAAGGAGCCTAGTGCAACTTGATTACCAGTAATTAGCTGCAATAAATTTTCATTGGGATGGAGGGGATATTATTGTGGTTATCAGAATATGAAGGACTAGTTTGTGGTTCAAAACCTGACATGTTATCATACTGGTTATTTATCCATGGTTCTACACTCTCTCCTACAACCACTGCCACATGAACTATGTGGCTTGTTGCATTGCTTCAGAACAGTGTTGTTTAACTCTTGATGGGATTTGCTACGATGGAAATTGCTTAAGGAAGAGGCATAAACTAAGTAGTGGGAAAGAAATCCTGATGCCAAAAATTGAGATTTGTGCTCCTTACAATTTACTGAGCATCTTGATACGCTTAATTCCAAATTCATTCATTCATTCATTCATTCATTCATTCATTCATTCATTCATTTACCTATTATTATGCTTTTACCTATTATTGTTAGCTGCCCAGAGTAGACTTTGGTCTAGATGGGCGGGGGGAAATATATTTGTTGTAATAAACAATGTAATAAAATAAAAACAACTGGGCAGCTAACAATAATAGGTAAAAGCAAAAGTAATGTAATAAAATAAAAACAACAGTAATAATATAGTTCAAGATGGCAAAAAATGATCAAGTGATCAAGTGATCAAACAGTACTGGATGTGTACTAGTTGTGGCTGAGATGGTATTCTGTTAACAGGAATGTGACATTTAATTGTCCTGTTCCTTAGCTTTTGTTGGCGAGTGGCAAATAATGAGGAAACCGTATCAGCAGGTTTTTTTAAGGCGGTAGCTGTGGTGGATTTGCAGTGCCTGGTGAATAAATAAAAGGTCATGTGGAATTTTACCAAGTGTTCTGGACTTGCATCTCTTTACCACTTTCCCAGGAGTTGTGAATTTGGTTTCCATCCTTGAGTTCTGACTGGAATTTTTCTTCTGAAAACCCTTATAATTGCAGTGGGCTGAACAGGGGCAGTTCTCTTGATCAGAAACTCCGTGATTTTGTTTTCATCCATTAAGTAAAAATTCATCCTTCCAGTTGAATTCTGAAGATGGCAAAAAGAAAAAAGAGGAAGTGTTGGTTTACCTTGCTTGGAAGTATGCTTTATATCTAAGGTTTTTCTGAACAAGGTGTGTACAGGTATTGCCAGTGAAAGTTCTCCAGTGCCTATAGCCTGGAAACGGGATCCTACACAGGGATCTTCCTGGTGATGTACGTGCATATGGGATGTTGTCTTGTACACTGCCCTTCAATCAGACCAGTGGTTCATCAGTTTCTGTACTGGCTTTCTGTACTACCCTTCAGAGTGGTAGCTCAGGATTTGGAGCAAAAGGCTTTTCCATCTATCTACCTAGCTTCCACCTGGCTTCTTTAATTGGAGATGTGAAAAATTGGATCTGGGGAAACATGTTTTCCCCCCTCAATGTTTCTTTAAAAGAAAAGAAAAAAGGAGGGGGGACATAACAGTTACCTTTATTCTGGCAGTCTTGCTTTGGAGTAATATAGGATATACAGAAGACCCATAGTCCAACATAATTAGTTGTCCTTGTTGGGAACGAACGACTGGGTTCTTTCCAGAAAATCTTGCAGCACACGCTTGTGTGCAGTTGTCAAGCGGAGCTTTTGGTTTGATACATCTCTCTCTTTTCCCTGTGTGTGCTTTTAGGTGCCGTTTTCAACCAGATACAAGAAGGAAGTGCTCCCAAGATATCCGCATGTTTGAGGCTCCCGCTCTGCCATGGAATCCTGGCCTTGGCTGGCCTGGGTTTTGCTCCTTAGCTTGATAGTGGACTGCCTGAAGAAGGTGGAAGCCCGAGACTTTACCGTGAAAGATATTGTCTATCTTCATCCTTCAAGTAAGAATTGTGGTGCAGCTTGATGCAATAAGAGGCTCATCCCTTGTTTGTGGGGTAACATTCAAAGGGTAGATGCATTAAAGGGCCTGAATAGACTAAGCTTTTGGCAGAAAATAAATGGATTCCTAAAATGAGAAGATCCTGTGTAACAGGGAGACTTTTTTATGCTTTTCCTGGTTGGACAAAGTGCATGGGCTCTGGGCAGTGGCAAGATGGCTTTTGTGGCCCTTAAGACTACCTTCCCTGTTGCAGATAAGGGCTTTTTCTGCTTTTGGGGCCTCCAGAATTGGTTGATTAAATAGCTAGCTAGCTAGATTTCACTGAGCGACAATATGAATCTTATGGGTACCTACTCTTAGTGAGCTACTGTTATTCCTAATATAGATTTAAATTATAGTTTCAAAGGTCGATCAGTCAGTTAAAAACTTAAACAGAATTTGAGAATGCCTTGCCATCCCATTTCAGAGAAGGCACTTCTCATGTATGTGTGTTGGGCTTCTTTTGTTTGTTTGTTTTGCCATTTTCAAGCTTGGCGGGGGTGTTGGATGCAAAAATATGCCCCCCCCCAGCCTTGCCATAGTTGCAAACCCCTAAACAAAGTCATGGATATTTGGTGCTTAAAGTGTGCCTATTGACACATCCGTTTGTCCACTGGTGTAAAGGGAGGTTGACAATCCAATGGGTTCTTCCAAAACAGGAAAAATGGGTTTCTAATATGGGGGGGGGATTCCCAATGTGGAGTAATAGATAGAGTGAGGAACTAGGGCTCTGGAGACTAGGGTTTGAATCCCCGCTCAGCCACTGCAACGCACTGGGGGAGTGGAACTGGTAAAACCACTCTGTAAATATCTCACTTACCTTGAAAATCCTATTAGTGTCACTATACGTTGGTTCCGACTTGACGGCACAAAACACACAGAATATGTGGGGAGGGCAGTAGGGTTTCTAAAATCTATCCTTGTTCTCTACTAAAAGTCATCATTGCTTCCCCCTTCCCCTTTTGACTTCCTCCTGGCTTTCTCCTTAACTATTGCACATGACTTCAAACTCAGAAATTTAAGGCAAGCTTTCTTCTATGGTGCTGGTTTTAAAAATACGTAAAACAGCTTTGTAGAGCTGGGAAGAAACTAGTTGCCTTTTTTTAAAAAATTGTTTTTCTATTTTTCTCTGATTTGCAGCTTTGTTCACATTTTTTTTTTTACAAAAAGACTTAATGGAAGAAAAAGAGAGAGAGAGACTTGTTTGCAGGAGGGATACAGGATTCATTCATGTTGGCCAGGAGAGGTAATAGATGGAGTTACAGGCAATGTCTGGGCATTGGGCAGTTCCTTTTTACTTCTTTTAGAATAGTACTCTTTATGGACGGTGCCTTCTGCTCTGAACCACAGTCTATCAGGCTTATTAACTTCTTTGATCATGTGCCAAAGGTCCCACAGCTGTGACTACAGCTTTGAAAACTCTTTTCAGTACCAGTATTTTTTTTTTAAGTACCAGGCTCCTCAGAAGCCCTCTCTTCTGTCTCCCTCCCTCCCTCCCTCTCTTCTCCGCTCCTCTGAGCCAGTCTGTCCATAGGAGGTCTAAGCATCATGAAGGCAGTGAGCAATGCCTCAGGTGACAATAGCACTGGATGAGCTCTCTCTAACAAGACTCCTGACATCATTCAAATATCCTGGTGAATTTATAGTATCAGTTTGGGTCCAGTATTTTTTTTTATGAAAATGGCCTTTGCTATATTTGTAGGATATGTAATATGCTCTGGTTATTCAGTTGTTAAGCTCTTGCTTTTGTTTTAGAATGTTTCTAATATATTTTTTAACTAAAAGACAAAGGCTTGTTCATGTAAGATTAAACTCGGTATGTAAATGAACAAGTAGCATCAAAATTAGATGATTAGAAATAGCAACCAGTGTCACCTGCATTATGAGAAGGGAGGTGAGATGGAGACACCTCTGTCCCAAGCACCGTCTGTCCCAACGGTGAAAGGGGAGAGAAATAAAGGAACAAAGGTGGCTGGATCCAGGGAGACAATCCCGGGAGAGCCTCCTAGAAGGATTACTAGGAAAGAAGAACCCTATGATCAGGAGAAAGAAGGAGGGCCAGAACTGCCAAAGGAGGAGAAGAAGGGAGATTGGTGGGAAAGAACCCATAAAAGGGAGCGGAGTCCCAAGGAAGGGTTTAGTAGAAGTGGGAGAAAGTGAGAGTCAGAGCAAGAGAAGATTCTTCCCCCAGGGCGCGAGTGGATTTGGCGAGAGAACCCCTGGACACAAAAAATGGGAATGGCTGATGGTCCCAAGAGAAGAAGCGGAGAGGAGGAAGAGAGCAGTTGTCCCTCAGAAACCCTCTTAGTGGGGAGAAAAGGAAGCCTGAGAGTGGGGACCTAGACCAGAAACCCTCTTAGTGGGGAGAAAAGGAATCCTAGGAGTGGGGACCTAGATTGAGGGAAGGGAAAGCCAGGAGAGCAGAAACAAAGAAGAGAGAGAGAGAGAAAGACAGATGAAGGGGTGCCACTTGTGACCGAAAGAAGAGTCTCTGGGACCTGGGACTTCTATGAGCCAGGAGAGCGATCAAAAAGAGGTGACTACCCAGGAGAAGCAACCATGCCTCTGTTGCCAGTATCACCAGGGCCAGCATTGAGAAACGGGGACCAGTTTGACCTACAGGGTCCATGGGATGTTGGTTATGAGAACATGTTGTTCTAGGACGGAACCTGTTTCTTGCCCCATTGGGTAAGGAAAAGACAGACATTAAACTTCATGTAAGTAGTTTTATTGACGTTCCCACGATAAATGTTGATGGTTTTCACCTTGACTCAGAGTCCATGTCTGATAGAGTGGAACAAGAACAAGGAACTGAACCCAGAAACCTGAAAACCGAACACTCACAGGCATATATAGCAAAATTCAGTAACAAATATGTTTCGTGCCGTGAATAAAGTACTACTAAAGGGAAAATGAGTACTTGTTCACGTTTCCACTTAGCAGCATTGATTATGTTTAGAACTAGTACCGGTTTTTAGATGCTGTTCTTATAAATAGTGGTGAAGAGGAGCTGACCAGCATTCATGCATGGATGAGAGAAATATCTAGAGTGAAGCGTGCTATTACTGTATTATCATTGTGGGAACACTACTGGTTCAGCCATTTCTCCTGAGACGTGCTGCCCCACCACCCACCACCCCAAAAAATCTGGTCTGGATAGTTAGGAGAATCTGGCATAGATTACAGAAGATCAGGTAAGAGTAGGGCTCTTGTGGGTAAGTGGGCATCCACAGTGTAACGTGGATTGTAGCCCAGTTATTTTTTTCCCATGTGAGGAAAGCCAATTGCTTTGTAATGTTCATACATTGTGTAAGCCATGACAGTATTGTTCCTGTATTGGGAAGGTTGGGGGAAATAGATTATCTAGCACCTACCAAAGGAGTGTAAGGCCAAGCTGAAAACTGAACCAGAGATTTCCAACTTAGATTTTTTTAACCACTATCCTATACGGTAGGATCATGGTATATGAGGGGGATCAGTTCTGAGTCCCCCCTGAACGGATGCTGAAAAACATGGAAATAGTGCACACTGTACATAGCATGGTCTCTGGCTCCCTGTAGTAGCTAGTTGTAGTGAATACACCATGAAAATACATCTAAATATGTATTTATGGGTTTTTTAATTTAACATTTTCCAGCAGTGGATAAGTGAATCCGCAGATACTGTTAAATATGTATTTCTGGGTTTTTTAATTTAACATTTTCCAGCACGGATAAGTGAATCCGCAGATACTGATCCCGCAGATAGGGGGTCCTAGTGTATTCATTTTTTTCAGCTAGATGTCAGCATTCTCCGCCTTAGTTTTGTAAACTTTTCAGTTTCATAATGCAATTGTTTGCTAAATTGTAGTTGCATTCTTCCCCAGAAATGATTAATCCTGAAGGGAGAGAAATCATCATACAGAAAAATCATGGTATATTGGTTTGGGAATGTGGCTTCTTTCTTTCCTGTGCTTTTTTAATGTTGGTTGTTACATTTCCCCCCCCACACACCTCCATGTGATTCTTGTGTTTCTAGTCCTACTTTGTGGAAAGTACCAACGGGGTAGAAACCTCAATTGTCCATTGCTGTTGTGGTTTTCCTGCCCCAAAATTTATAGGTCATCTTGGTCTGTCTCTCCACACTGTTGGAGAGCTCATCCTATTCAAACTCTCCCATTACTTTATCACAAAAAAAGGGGGGGGGGAGAAAACCAAATGATGGGCAGAGCTGGTAAACATTACTTATCTATTAAACATCTGAGTTGCCTTTCTGACAAAAACGGCATTCAAAGCAGCCCTTCATAAAATGAAATAAAAATGAAATGTTGCTTGTTCAGGATTAAACAAAGATTACAATCAGGAGGAGGTCTGCCTGGTGGGGGAAAGAGGAGAGAAAAACTGTTCCATGTCCATGGATGGCCACTAATGTGGTGGATTTGTTCCCTTTTTAAAAAAGAAGTTTCAAATACTCTGATGCTAGTATCATACAGCTTGGCATTGCATTTATCTATGCTGGAGGAATCAGGCACCAAGGGTTCCTTCTCATCTCTGGCTTAGGATACAAAGGCTTCATTTCATCTTCTTTCTAAAACGTACTCGTTCATTTTCAGAGCATAGGACTAAACTGTAGAAGTATTCCAGTGCCTCAGGCACCTTTTGAGAGTTTACCATGATCGTATGATATATTAAGTTGATATAGGCGGCTTGCCAGTGTATAGTCACTGTAACAGGCTTTCATTTTTCCCAGGAGGAAGAAAGTAATCATTCTCATGGTGGCGTTTAAAGAAAGCAATAGGGGAAGCCTATATTTTAACTCAAGCTTTTTTGAAAAGAAGATATAGTCTAGAATTTGCTGTGTAGTGAACAGTATTTCTAGAAAGCCAATATTAACTTGATTGATGTTTAGGCATCCTTCAGTCTCAAGAGACTATGGTAACGTGCTTTGTATGGAGGACTTGGAACAATGTCTAGTGTGGCTGAGAAAGCCAATTCGAGAGTGACAATCCCTTCCACACTGAAGACAAATACAATCTCTCCCCTGTCCAACTCCCTGATTTTGCTGCTTTCATGACTGCCTCTTTGCCTCAGCCTGCTGAACGAATGTCTCTTCAAATTGGGAGAGGCCATGCTGCACTGCCTGCCCCCAGGCTGAACGTTCCAATGTCAAGGTTTCCCATCTGTTGAGGTCCATTCCTACGGCCTTCAGATCCCACTTCCAGATATCCTTGTATCGCAGCTGTGGTCTCTTTCTGGGGCAATTTCCCTGCACTAATTCTCCAGACAGGAGATCTTTTGGAATCTGACCATCAGCAGTTCTCATTACATGCCCAAGCCAACGTAGATGTTGCTGTTTCAGTAATGTATACATGCTAAAAATTCCAGCTCATTCCAGGACTACTCTATTTGGAACTTTGTCCTGCCAGGTGATACAAAAAATGCATTGGAGACTACGCATATGACAATTTGATGTGTTTTATATTCATCAAGGTTACTGTGAAATTTTAACTCAAACCAATTTTATGTTTGGGTATTTCTGCAACAATGTTTTTCGGGTGAAATTTAAAAAGTCCAGGCCTGAAATGTTACAGTGTGCAGCTGTGTATTGTGTACTTCTAAACATTATTTACCTGTCTCAGTTAAGCTGTATCTAAAATTTTGTGTCCTGAACATAGCTACAGAGAGATCCTGGGAAGGTTTTAGCAACACATTTTAATTAATATTCATACTACTTCTCCTCAAGAAACCTAAGAATTTGAGATTGTAAGTGCACCAGTAATCAGATGGAGTTCTCTAATGTGTGTAGACATACATCCAGATATGTCAATAAATGCACACATGTGCAAGCTGATAGGAAAAGAATAAGAAGTAGCATTCATTAGCAAAGGAAATTATTCTTTGCCCGGCTTTCAATTCTGGTACTATGCACATTTACACACTTGAAATAAATGGCAGTGCTTACATTTTAATAGACATACTGTATGTAAGATTGTGTTGCACTCCTACAGCAGAAGGTTGCTTTAAGTGTACAGTTTCACTTTTTGCACAAAGAAGCTGATTGGAGTTCCAAACAGTGCATCTTTGTCCTGCAAATTCTGGCCAGAATTCAACTGATAGTTTATACTGGCAACAGTGAAATGCTGTAAGGCTCCACAGCAAATTGCCACTGATTAATGAGGTTCAAGTTGCGATCCTGGGTGCATGCCCCATTGTGCAGTGATGCTCACACCCAAGGAGTGCAACTGGCATCTTGTTAATTAGTGGCAATTTGCTGCCACAAATTAGGCCATTTCACTTATGCAAGTGTGAGTCACCAATTGGATTCTGGCCAGCAACTGGCAGGGGCTTGTTTTCTACTTTAGCATCTGTGTTTGGCTTTATGGGCTTAACCGAAAGATGCTTCAGCTTCATTGCGAATCATTATAATTCTTTGGTCTGGTTCTTGACATCAAACTTGAAGAAGAATATAAAGCATGACTACGCAACATTATTGTCCTGCAGAGGTGTTTCCCATCTTCTCCAGTCGTGTAGGCCAAAACATCTGAAGGGTCCCAGATTGTCTGCCCCAGTGTAGGCTGGGGTTCAAAAGAGGGTAACACAGGTGGTGAGTGGCCCCGGGGGAAGTACTGAGAGAACATAACTATATGTTTAGCCTGGAGATCAGAAGACTAAAGGTCAGGGAGATTTCATAATATTTTTCAAATCTTTGAAGGGCTGTTGCATGGGTGAAGAGAGAACCCTTTTCCTCTGCCACTATTAAATCTAATGGACTCTCAGGGTAGGTTCTGGGTGAACATGAAAAGGAATCTGTTTTTCTGTGGGGAAACTAAAAAAAAAGAGAGGGCAAAATAACTGAATTGTAAGATTAGTTTGATAACGAAACTAGATGTTGGGTTCCTCCTTGTCAAGTCATGTAGGTGTTTACTTGAGGCCCAAGCTCTGGATTTCCTCCACTCAGCAAGCAGTTGGATCAGGTGGCTTTCAAGACTCCCTCCTATTGTTTCTACTAACCTTTAATATCTTTTTGTCTGGAAAGGGCTTGATTTTTTTTTTTAAGTTTCAAGATTTTTTTGAAAGGTGACTGTGTAGAAAACCTGGGACTCCAAATCAGTCCACTAGCAGTGAGGATCAGCTCTTGTATAAAGCTGTGAAAACCACGATGTATGAGTGTGAATTAATGAATAAGACTGGAAAAACATTATCCCTGTTCCAAATGGATTTGAAAGTAAATTTCTTTGTTGTGTTTGCCTTTTTCAGCCACTCCATATCCCGGTGGATTCAAGTGTTTTACGTGTGAACAAGCAGTAGACAACTATGAATGTAACCAGTGGGCTCCTGACATCTATTGCCCGAGAGGTAAATAAGCTTCTTATTGCCAGAGAGGTGCCCTTCTAGAATATGTGTCCATTCTAGAAGTGGTTGACATGTGCTACACATATTCTTCACATGGATGCCTTCACCCTTAAAGGGTCACCTAGAGGACAGGGAGGGCCTCTTCTATGGCTCACTAGTTGCAGCCTACCCAGAAACTCTGTACACATTTTATGTAGGTCAGTGACATACATGTATAAAATTGTAATTGTTCTCTTGCATACTGGGGAACATTCAGTGCTGCTGTGTTGGCAGTAGTTTGTGTGGCTCCTTCCTGTAGTCTCTGCATAACTCTATGGTGTTTCTATGAGGCTTTGTTTGGGTACACGCAGTCTTTAAAGGCCCTAGGGAACGTTTTGGGTGCATGGATAGAAAGTTTCTTAGAAATTTTTGCCTCAAGAGTCATTCAAACTCAGTTTTGAGAAGGTTGGTGGTAATGACATCCATTCTGGATTTGCGTAAGACATGCATAGGTCCAGTCCTAATCCTCCTGGTGTAGAGGCAGTGATTCCAAATATTGTATCAAAGGATAGGTTATGGGCCTCCAAAAAGTATTTCAGTTTAAGGAAGACGAACAGTTTGTCGAACTATGTAAACTGCGCATGGACTAGTCCCTCGTATCTTACCCCAGTCCTGCCCAGAGTCTGAGTCAAAGCAGAACACTAGGAACCATGTGGAAGGAAAGCAAGGAAGTCTGTGCATTGGAAGGAGGAGACAGCTGTTTGCTGTACTTTCTCCTGCTGTGGGGGTGACAGTAATGAATTGTTGTAGCAACCATATTTGCTGATAGTTGGACTACAAAGAGATGTTCAATAGAACAAGAAAGTGAGCAGCAGTCCTGACTTTGAAATAATGCTTTCCCACTTCAAAGAGACACGAATTAGGACATTAAAGCAGAGAAATTAATTAGGCGGCATGACAGCATACATTTCTGAACTCATGTTTCCATTATTCCCATTAATTCATTAGCTTAGCTACCTGCTTTTGATAATCTACCGTGTTTCCCTGAAAACAAGACAGGGTCTTATATTAATTTCTGCTCCAAAAATGCATTAGGGCTTATGTTCAGAGGATGTTTTATTTTACAATCATGTCATTTTCTGCTTGCTGCACAATGCTGCACAATGGTGGAGGGTGGGGTTTCACTGAACTGGGACTTATTTTTGGGGTAGGGCTTATATTATGAGCATCCTGAAAAATCATACTAGGGCTTATTTTCAGGGTAGGTCTTATTTTCAAGGAAACAAGGTAGCTGAGATACACTTGCCATAGTTAGGCTTCTGTTAAAGCTCTTTTGTCTTATCTGCTTTGAACGGCACCAGGAGTCTGTCGTTTTGTCATAGTAGGATTGCTGTATATTTACCAAACACAGGATTTGGAGGATTTGGAGGCTGGAACTGACCAGGTGGAAAATTTAATCCATCTTTTAGCTTTACCACAAAGCCCAGTTAGACCTGTAGCTATTGGATACAATTTTATTCACATAGCGCAGCATATTCAGCTGCTTAACTTGTGTGTGTTATGTGTGCACGTACGCACGCGCACACACATTTGGCAGGCACTGGGCATTATTTTTAACTTACTTGTCTTAACTAAAATTGGTCTTACATGTTTCTTAGAAGTGGGTAGAAGGTTCTGAGGAGTTACTCCCCAAAACCCACCACCACGTTTTGTATAAAGATAGTCTGATGTGATCCTGTTCATCAGCAAATATCTTTAGAGCAAGAAATCTGGAGGCCATAGGCTTCACAATCAAGGCACCTTTTTTCTGAGGGACATAGCAGGTACACAAAATTCTCGGAGGACTAGCAACTGTGGCATGGGGATTTTGCATCCATACGGCTGTGGACCATACTTCTTCTCATCATTGCTGCTTTATGGACCAGTCCTGGTTCAGTTTGTCTGCTGCCCACAGGTTCTGTGTGTGCGGGACACACCAAGCCAGATACACGTGTGATGTAAGATTGAATGTGGTGAATAAGTGGACTGGAATTCCATCTTAAAAATAAAACAAGCAGTGGTGTTGTAAGAGGCCTAAGATGTACACCCAGCTTTTTGATGTAAGCTTGTATAAAGCCTTTGACCAAAAAAAACCCCCACAAACAAATGCATAATATTAGAACTTGCTTCTTGCTAAATAAATTGTTGTCAAGTTGAGGGAAAAGAAGAAGAAATATTTCCTCTTACAATGGATAATTGTGTTAAATTGAAGTCGCTGATGTAAGTACATTGATGAGAGCTATTCTAGATGGCTTTTAGGAGCAGAGTGGAATAGGCTGCCAGTTCTGGGCCTATAACCTTTGCAAGAGAAAAACCCAGAGTCACCCCCGTATGGCCACAATGTGTGCCTATGTCTGAAAGAATCTCTCATGTTACGGCATAACGCGAATTGCTAGTGTTTGTTATGTCCTGGCAGATTACTTCTCGCTTGTGGCGACCCTGACAGGGTTCTGAAGTATGTGAGATGTTCAAAGCATGGTTTACCATTGCTAATTCTCCTGTGAGTTTCCATGGCAGAGTGGGGCCACCCCGAAAGGCACTCTATCTATCTGCCATACCACACTGACTCTCATGACTGTAATAACCATGGGGAAAGTTGTCTGTAGGAATAAGCAGAAAACCTCTTGTCTTTCCTGCCAGCTACAAGATACTGCTACACTCAACATACGCTGGAAGCCAATGGGAAGAGTGTGTCTGTTACCAAACGATGTGTGCCACTGGAGGATTGTTTGGCTACAGGATGCATTGATCTCCAGCATAAAGGACTGAAGGTACTAAGCAGGCTTTACATCAGGGGCAGGTAAAGTGCCCAGGCTGCGTTGAGGCTCTCCAAATCCCACTGTGCCTCCCCAAGCTGGTTTTCCTAAAGATATACTTGAATAGCACTTTTTGGGGTGAGCACAGCCTCCCCATATGATCCTCCTAGTCACCCCAGTTTTTTTAAAGGTAAAATTAGACCTAAGCATAGGGTGATTGCTCCCCCCCCAAACTTTGGGCATTTTCAGCCATTTATGGATCCAGTGTAATTTTTTTGGGAGTGGGGAGCGCTTCTGGATTCAGTGATACCCTTTGGTTGTTTTCTTTTGTATGGTAACATGTTCTAGCTATTAGACGTGAAATAAAATAATTACTGTTATGGTGCAATTACATGGTACTGTACCGTGAAATGGAAGGTCACCTAAGTGAACCAGACCCATCCAAAGGCATAGCTGGAAAGAGTAAAGTGGAAAGTTAGGGGTCTGAGACAGTAGTGGCAAGCTATATAATTTTGGAAATGATGGGAGCTATGATTCCAGTCCATATGTTTTGGCAGTTTAAAGAAAATACATAGAAGAGCTTTTCCATTAAAGCAGATTTTACAAGGCATTTCCCCCCTGTGGTTTGAAAACTTCAGAAAATGTTGAGAACATAAATTACGATGGAAGCAAGTAAGAGGGAAACTTTCTTGTTTTCCCCCAGGAATTAAAATGATAGCTGTACGAGATGAAAGACACGCAATATGGCTAGACATTTTTATGGTGCGCATTAACGCTTTGGGGAAGACCGTTTCATCTGTATTTAAAGTAGTTTTGCTTGTAATTTATTGTAATTGTATTATGTTTTTTTCCTGTCAGTTTTAAAATAATATCCATAGCTCATGGAGAAGACATGTGATATGCAAGCAGTTGGTGCCCTAGAAGAAAGTAACTGAATACCCACATGTAATGTCATCATGACATTCAGTATAATCTACTGTAACCTTCTGTAGGTGACAGTTTACCTAAGATATTTCCATGAGGGGGCTGACTGCACAATACATTTTTACTATGTAGGTGACAGTTTACCTAAGATATTTCCGTGAGGGGGAACACGGGGGGAACACAACAATTAAGTCTGTATTTAAAAGTTAAAAACAGTGAGTGTACAGATGTTAAAAAAAATCAAACAAGTATTATCTTAAAAATGGTCAGTAAAATCTATACTAAAAACACATTTAAAAACAACAGAGCACAACAATCCATTAAAAAGACACCACCTCTCAGGATGAAGTTTCCACATGCTGTTTTCTAAAGAGTGTATCCTGCTTGGGCAGGGTGAAGGTATAAGAGAAGGGAGCAGTATTTAACCCTTTCTCCATCCACTATGCCTTTCGTCCTGTTTGCTCCAAATATGTGGCAAGCTGCTCTCTGGTCTGTAGTTCCCTCTCTTTTCTACAGCTTCTGAGCTAAACTAGAGATGGGGGTATTCATATTCGTAGACAAATAGTACAGCTTCTGAGCTAAACTAGAGATGGGGATATTCATAGTTGTAGACAAATAGGAATATCTCCCTGCAAGTGGAAATAATGAAGGTCCAGCCCCATGGAGCCAGACCGTCTACTCACCATTTGGCCGCTGCAAAGGGTGCAGCGGCATCTTCCTATCGCGCTGTGCTCTGCCGTGTATTAGGTACTCCTGGCTGGAGGTGTGATGAGAAGCCTCTCTGCCAGGTCATAGAGTGGCTAATCCATTGCAGACAGTTGCGCCAATGGAAGACGCTGCTGTGCCCTTGGCAGCGGCCGAACAATGAGTGGATGGTCCGGCTCCAATGGTTCGGACCCTTGTTATTTCCACCTGCGGGAAGATAATTCGTATTTGTCTACGAATACGAATACCCCCATCTCTAGTCAAAACACATACCACAACTAGTACTTCATTAGAAGAAGACGCCATTTTAGTGTTTCTGTTGACACAGTTTCTGCTGAGCTTTGTGTCTGAGCAGTTCAGAAGGCAGAGGAAGCCTTGTTTACCTTTTGTTGACAACTCATTAAACAAAGCAAGCTAATTCGCGAGCTATGAGAGATCAGAAGAGGTGACAATCAAGGCAATCTTCAACAATTTGAGGACTTCCCGTTTCAGCATCTAAATGTTTCCCTTGATCATCGGTTTTTATTTTTAAAAAGGGCCAGGGCTTGGATGTTTGGTAGGCAGTGTGCAATTAGTTTTCTGTTGTGAAAGGTTCTTCAGATGTGGAGTGCTTCCCTTCACCATGGCTTTTCTTCTCTTTTCTAGGTCTGCACTTCTTGTTGTGAGGGCAACATCTGCAACTTGCCATTGCCCAGAAACTCAAGCGATGCCATATTTGCAACAATAACCCCCATCAATCACACACAGAGACATTGGAAAAGTCCATCAATAATGGCATGGTGTCTGCTCTTAGTCTTTTCTACGTAGATGCCCAAGGATAGAGCTTGCACACCAAGGCAAGCAGTTGAGGATGAAAATATTTATGCATACATAAGTGATCTTAATTTAATATATGTTTCAAATCTTACATTTTTAGTGACATTTCTAAATGTATATTTTTAAACTCGTTTTAGCATTGGCTGGTTCAAAAGCCATAGTTTCTGAATTGTTGGGGAGGGGACATTTTCGCTGCAAGTTTAGTTTGAAGGAAGTTGAAGGAAACCTTTTGTAGTTCATGGATGGAGGTGTGGTCAGTGAAATCTTGATGGAAAATGTCTATTTTCCTCTCTGCCTCTCTGCTTGTGACGAGAGAATCTACGAGAATTGTGAGTTTGCAGTAATAAATAGTTAAACACTAGGAATTCCTATAAAGTTGCTCCACTGTCCCCCCCCAAAAAAGGGTTTCTAGTTGACCTGTTAGGCCTAACCAATGTTACTTGGTTAGTCGTAGAGAGATGGATTTAGATTGAATTGTATTTAGAGTAAACCCTTTGATCCATGGATCTGTTCCAAGTAAAACTGACTGGGTTTCGTCTCAGTGCATACACCTGGATATGAAGAAACAATTATTTTGAAGAAAAAGCCACTCTTCTTGAAATGTATAGGCAGGGCTGACGTGCATCTTAAAAGACGTGCATCTTAAAAGACGTATTTCCTACACAAGAAGGGGAATGCCTCTAATGCCTCTTCCACTGTTTTTAAACTATAATTCCCAGAATTTCCAAGTCACCTTGTTGGCTTGGAGATTCTGGGAGCTGTAGTAGAAAATGTGACTTCTCCAAGTGCTGAGCTTTGCTAAGATAATTCCTTCCACATGCAGTTTTTTGTTAGCACTTATATTTTTAAAATTCTTAATCTCTTTTTAAAAATACATGGCCTGTTGAATTGGGATCACCTTATTGATCTTCAAGATGCTTTAAATTGCTTTAATCTAACCAATTAATAAACTAAGTTGCACTCTTACATATGCTCACCTAGGAAAAAGGCCCATTGAACACAGTTGGCCTGCATTCTGTATTGACAAACATAAGATTGCACAGTAATTTTGCTACCCTACATACACTTAACTTGGAATAATTCCCATTGAATTGAGACAAACATGCTTCTGTATAAATTTGCTTAGTGTGGCACTGTACATGTGCAGCCCTGGTTCTGATCTGCTAAGAGAAGCTTCCCCATTCAGCTCTTTCTGAATAAGGTTTTCATTCACCTTCTCATTTCCTTCGTGAAATCATCCCTGTCTTTGAAGACAATGGGTAAACTCCTTGTTCAGTGTATTGGGGCTCCTTGAAACTAGGGATCAGATGGTGAGTTTTAGATTATTATGACATGTCAGTACAGCATTTCTGCAATAAGTAGAATAAGGGTTCTGGTATATTTAGAACTTTTGGCAGAGAAATAATCATGTACAGTTTTCTTGTTTTCAATAAGACATAGGCTCAGTTTCATTACATTTTAATTTATATTAGTTCTGATGAAACTTTGGGCACATGAAAGAGTTTATTTTCCATATTAGATCACAGTAATTTATTTTTGTATGGTATGATCAGAATGGATGAGACATTGTATAGAATTCAATTCTTAAGCAGTTTCTAACAGTGCTTAACTCCTGTTAAGTCTGGTATGTAAGAGATATTTTGTGACAAGTGATTTTCAGCAACAACGAATTAGGGCAGGGAAATAAAAGAGTGGTAGAGTTGAACTTAATTCAGATATATATTACTGGCATATGGCATATAAAAGCTTGGTGGAGTTTTATAAACCATGGACAACCATGTAATCATATGTTATAGTGATTTTTATGAGTTGCTTTTGAATAATGTTGACCAGTGGGGAATTGCCATTTTTATCAAATTACAAGTTGATGCTGGGTAGTGAGGGGAATGGAAAAGAACCTATATGGTATGTATACAAATAAGGAAGAAAATTATATGTGTGTTTTTTTAGTGTTTGATAGGAATCTCTGCTTAAAGCAACCTACCAGCCATCTGGTACACCCATATTGTATGTGTGTGCATGTGTGTGTACATGCTTCCCAACATTTTGTCTTCCATGTGTGTTGGACCACACTTACGCTAGTCGACCAACCAGCCTGTGAGTCCAGCTCATTTAAATAAATTGTTAAACACAGCCACTTTTTGATGACATGTGGCCTTCTAGGGTAGGAGTTGGTCTAGTTCCTTGTGTGAACGTAAACTTAGTTCCCTGTTGAAAGTACAATGGGACCATATGTGCCAGGGAACCAGGTATGCACCATACCACACATGCTGCATGGGATTCTCACTTTGTTATGATTTTATCTAGTAGTAAGCTTCTGTGACCTTCATTGGAACATTATCTAGTTGTCTAGTAATAATCACTGCAAGTATGAACATTTCTGCCATCCCAAATACACCTAAATATGTTCATGGCCCTCTAACTCATTGGCTGAAGTCCTGTTCAAGTTGGCATGACATAAATTTACACCTGGAAAAGTGTAAAAGCTGGCCTTTACACCCAGGCAGCCAGCACTGCATATTTGATCATGCTGTTCATCATGTCACTGTTGCATGAATCATGTCATGGTTGCACAATTGATTGTTCACATTGGAGCTGTTACACAACATGCCTGTGGAGGTGCTTTGTGGGTGTTACTTCTGCCCATATGTGATTTTCTCTCTCTCGATCACTTCCACAGCTTCACATATGCAAGCATAGCTGTGCAACAGGATTTCAGCCATTGGAAGCAGGACTCACTATTATAAGTTAATGATTGTAATAAACTTAGTCAAGGTGAAGTCCCATCAAAAGCCCTGAGGTATAGTTCAGTTATTCCTTTTTGTTTTGTTCTTCTGCTTTAACCATGAATAACATGATCAGATTAAGAGCTGTTTTAACTTGATTTTTTAAAAAATGTGACCTTTTAGGTACAAGATAGCTCAGTGTTGGCTATCCTCACCAACCTCCATGTCATCCTCTTTCCAGAGGGCTTCTAAACCCTTGGAAATCACATCTCAGGGTGTGCAGGGTCTCCAGTGGGCAAAAAGGTCCTTCTCCCTGTATTACTTTCCAATCATCATGATTGAGATTTAGTCCAGTAATGACACTGTTGCAACAAATGGCCAGTTTTTGTATTTTTCAATAAACAAGCAAACAAAAAAAATAAATAAAAATAGTAATGGCAGTGAATCAAAAGCTGTACATGGCATAATGTATATGTTTAATGCACAACAGCTAATTCTATATAGAACAGCATTTCCTTAAAACCTGTATTCATTTGGTTTCATTTATTGACTCATGGTTTAAAGGGGTACAGAACCTCTTTTTATTGTGGCATATCACTAAACCGATGGGTGTATGCTAATGGGGAATTACTTTAACCAACCTTCTGTTTTCCTCCAAGTTGCACTGCTAGGACACTATCCCTCAATTTACCAAAGTAATTACTGGTGCCAAAAACACAATACATATGTTCAGAATTCATGTGCTCTTAAAAATCATTATGTGTTGGTAATTAGTTTTACCTTCTCGCATCTTATAGAGATGGGGAGATTTTGTTGGGTAATTCAGAGTTCGTCACACTGCATTCATGCAGTCATGACTGGCTACATTGAAGCAGCTGGAACCAACATCTATACGTTTCCATCAAACAGCTGCTGGGGACAGGTCTGAACGTGAGAGGCACCCATTCGTGGTGGCAAGGTGAAAGTAGTGACACGTGGGACTTGCGATACTGCACATGAAAGTATAGACTCCCTGTGTGTGCTCAGTTTAGCACATGCCAACCTTTCCCTGTTTAGAACAAAGAGTGACAAGCAAGTGAATCATTAAACAGAGATGACAAAGGGTCCCAAAATCCCATAGCTATAGATATCAGCTTTAGAGGACAAGGAGGTATCTGGTAACCTCCACAGACTGGCTTCTTACTTTTGATAAGGCTGGATTAGGCCCCCAGGCCATGTGTGGTTCCTGGCTGCTTTGCAAATGTGAAATATCACGTGGGTGCTGTTTTCAAGCTGTCTCTCTGTGGTGGTGATTATTAATGTGTAAAACCGCACTCACTAAAAAAATTGTTTGTGGTGTCTGTTCCGTACAAAGTTATATGTAGCATATGTTGTGAACTCCCTGAAAAGGTGATGAGTGTATTTGTTTGCATGATCTAGCTGTATGTAACGTACGTGGGAGGACCCTGGCTATCCATTTTGGTTTAGTGTCTCATTATTTGTAAGCAAGAATGATGGAGTTGTCCTGTCTGTAAAATCTGTTGATACGAATGTGACGCAGTGTCACACAGGAAAAGTTGTATGCTGCTCCATAACCATTGGATTGGAACACATTTCTGAAACAACAAACATTTGCAGTCCAAGCATGATGATGTGCCAAATGAGTGTTTCAGCATCTGCATTTCACTGTGAATTTTGATGTTTCAGCTGTGTGAAATTTCCTCCTGCCTTCGCCTTTTCATTTAATCAAAATGAGTCAGTAAGAGCATGAAAATCTGAAGCCAAATTTATGCAAAATTCGTGTTTCTGCTTCCTTCTATGTCCCCCCTGTTCTTCTGTTGAAGTAATTTCAGTGTAAATAGTGCTTCCAATTGTTAAGGTTGTTGTAAATTTTGTATATTGTATAAATAAACTATGTTTTAAAATTTTAATATGCCTGCTCTCTTCCTGCTTCCTCCTCCTCCTGCTGCACTCACCGTAAAGGAAAGCTGCCTGGGAAGGGAAGCCTGTAGATGAATATCACTTTATATGCTTAAAAATGAAAAAGCAAAACAAGGTGTGTTGCCATAGCACCTAAGCACACTCTGGTTGGTTTACAAGTTAATTGTGCAAGCTATACATAGCACACCCTCCCTCAGCGAGCTGGGCACTAAGTTTACTGACCTCAGAAAGATGGAAGGCTGAGTGAACTTTGAGCCGGCTACGTGGGATTGAACCCCAGGTCGTGAGCACAGTTTGGGCTGCAGCACAGCCGTTTAATCGCTGTGCCACGAGGCTCTTTGTAGTGTGTGTATTGCCTGTCTGAGCAAGTTCACAACCACTAACTCCAATCCATTAAGGGCTTTAAAATCCATTTCAGGTGGGCTCGGAAGCTTGAACAGTTGGTCTACAAGCACCTCCAAACGTGTGAGCAACCCTTCACTATAACCTATTTTTATTTACTTTTGATGACTGTGTATACTTCATACGGTGCCAAGAAAGTTCAAGGCAGCCTACAAGGCAGTCTGCAATCAAATCTCTTGATTTTATTGTTTTGATGATATGTATCTCTATATTATTTGTATTATTATTTACTGTGTTTGTATGATTATGTTGTGAACCACCCAGAGAGTGCTTTGCACTATGTGCCAATATAGAAGTTGAGAAAGAAACAAACTACAACAACAAAAAAAGAATTGGCATATATGTATTCGCGAAGGTGTTCGTATGTGCCAATATAGAAGTTGAGAAAGAAAGAAACTACAACAACAACAAAAGAATTGGCATACTGTATATGTATTAGCGAAGGCTTTCACAGCCGGGATCTAATGGTTGTGGGTTTTTCAGGCTCTTTGGCTGTGTTCTGAAAGTTGTTCCTAATGTTTCGCCAGTCTCTGTGGCCGGCATCTTCTGATGTTGCACAATTGGCATATATCCAGTTACTTCTCCTGATTAAGACAGATCCATTGAATCTATGGGTGTTACATGAGGGTTGATCTATCGTTTTAATTCGGTGGATCTCTTCTAGGTGGACTAGCAGTAGGATTTAGGATACTTAATGAGGTTTAGGATACCTAGTGGATAGTGTAACAGACTAGGACTCAGGAAGCCTGGGTTTGACTCTCTGCTCAGCCATGGAAAGTCACTGGGGTCTGGGACTGGTCAAACCTCTCCTTAAATATCTTACTTTCTTTGAAAGCCCTGTTAGGGTCATTATAAGTCAGTCCTGACTTGAAGGCACCTAATACAACAAGCAGTAGGATTTAGATTAGTGGTTTATTTATTTATTTATAGGGTTTCTATCCTGCCCATCTAGACCAAAGGTTCCCAACCTTGGGGGACCCAGATGTTCTTAGACTGCAGTTCTCAGAAGCCTCCACCACCAGCTGTGCTGGCGAGGATTACTAGGAGTTACATCTAGTTACCTAAGGTTGGAAACTACTGATTTAGATTATAATTTATTTAAAAACCCTAAAAAATCAGACTTAAAGCTTGTATCAACCTTAGAAGCAGCTATCTGGACGTTGAGTCATGGCAACTGGACGTCTTTCTTATTAGGTTTAAATGTTTTGCTACTCATCCAAGTAGCTTCTTCAGTCTGAGGAGAGTTGGTAGGAGACTCCTGGTATATTCTCCACATTGGTTTCACTTCCCTCTGCTTTGAATAGGCTTGTTTGATGGACAAAGGATGGAAGGGTGAGTGAAAATCCCACTTCTGCAGTCCTTCTCCACCCACTGTCATGGGTCGTTAACAGTCATTAACAGTGGTCTTTCTGGTCAATTTGGTCCTTTGTCCATCTAACCATTCTATTCAGACCAGGGGGAATTGAAACCAAAGAGGATATATCATGGGTCTCCTACCAACTCTCCTCAGACTGAAGAAGCTACTTGGATAAGTAGCGAAATGTTTCAACCTAATAAGAAAGAGGTCCAGTTGCCATGACTCAACTTCCAGATAACCTCACCTAGATGATACGAGTCTTCACAAATTCTTAGAAGCAGTTGTGAAGAAGTTAACGATAGTAGTGCTCTCCATGTCTGCTCCAAAGTAGAACCCGTTAATATATTCACGAAGGCTTTCACGGCCGGGATCTAATGGTTGTTGTGAGTTTTTCGGCTCCTTGGCCGTGTTCTAAAGGTTGTTCTTCCTAACGTTTCGCCAGTCTCTGTGGCCGGCATCTTCAGCAGACAGCACTCTGTGCCCTGGTGTAGTTGGCTTTGGGAGTGCAGTATTTATGGCTGTGGGATAGGCTTTTGTCTTTTTCTGTAGATGGGTGATTAGTGTGTATTCCAGCCACAAGGACAGGGGATCATTACACACAAAAGACCTGCTAATGACACCCATCAACCACAGGAACAGATAATCTCTTCTCCTTAGCACAACAATACACACTAATCACCCATCTACAGAAAAAGACAAAAGCCTATCCCACAGCCATAAATACTGCACTCCCAAAGCCAACTACACTAGAGCACAGAGTGCTGTCCTCTGAAGATGCTGGCCACAGAGACTGGCGAAACATTAGGAAGAGCAACCTTCAGAACACAGCCAAAGAGCCCCCATTAAGTTAATTGGGTGTCGCTCGCCTGTATGTGGATATAGATCTGTAGCCCTAAAGCAGACCTGGGCAAAGTGCGGCCCGCGGGCCACATACGTCCCGCGAGCTGCTCCTGTCCAGCCCACCCATCACCGCTGAGTTAACCAGAACTCCGGCTCTGGTCACCCAGGACAGCACCTTCAGAACACAGCCAAAGAGCCCCCATTAAGTTAATTGGGTGTCGCTCGCCTGTATGTGGATATAGATCTGTAGCCCTAAAGCAGACCTGGGCAAAGTGCGGCCCGCGGGCCACATACGTCCCGCGAGCTGCTCCTGTCCAGCCCACCCATCACCGCTGAGTTAACCAGAACTCCGGCTCTGGTCACCCAGGACAGCAGTAAGCAAAACTGCGGCTCAAGAGGGTGGAAGCGATCCTTGCGCAGTGTATTATTGCTGCGCAAGGAGACGCATTATGTCGCCTGCGCGGGATAGAAGACAGTTGGAGAGGAAGGCTGTGGGGGAGCGGAGGATAGGTGAGTTAGCTCAGTGTTGGGTTTTTTGTTCCCATTCCCCCCCCCGCTGTGAATGAATTACAACACTCACATAGTTAACTCCCTAAAAAGTTTAGGGAGTTACCTATGTCAGCCTTGTAGTTCGTTTACCGCAGGGCCTCACCCAATGGGGGCCTA